TTGTTTTTGATGCTCTGTGAAAACAGGCGAGGAAGGGAGGGGTGCATTGTTCAGATGGGGACCTGGGGGGGGATCGAACCCGGGGCCCCCGAGTCATCCCATGAGCAGCAGAGGGCCGAAACAGATCCCACCTGTTCAACTTAGTCTCTCTAAAGCCATCCAAAGAGCCCCACGCCAAGACCTGATGGTTGAAAGAGGTGTGTGTGTGTTTTTTTTTGGGGGGGGATACAGGTGGCTCTTAAATCTGGAGTTCTCAGATTCCCGGACTGCACTTCGGAGCAGCTTCATAGGAGGGTGGAGAGCAAACCCTCCATCTCGGATGCCTTGTGTGGAGCTGAACGGGGTCTACTCTAGGACAAGGGAGAGCAGACCACCCGAGTCCCTTGCGTCCATGTCTCTTGGCAGATGGGAAGGAAGGAGGTGGTTCTCGTGGACCGAGGAGGCCACGAATTCCTCTCTCCATCTCCGGGACCCAAACTAAGGGCTTCGGGTTGAGATGAATCCGGTGGCTGGCTTTTCCTTTGATCAGGTGGGGGAAAAAAAACACAGGCACGCGGGTGGGTGATGAAAAACAGCAGTCCTGAAGATGGTGCACACTTGGTAAGAGGTGTTGCCAGTCAGTGTGGTATAAAGGTTGGAGGGATCAAGAGGGATCCTTTATCTCGAAAGTCCCCTAGCATGAGGTGGGCCTGGGCCAGACACACACACCCCCCCGCAAGAGGGGAAGCACTTATTGGAGGAAAAGTGAGATTAAAATGTTACTGATAATGACAGGGATTTCGGTAACTCCGGCTTGGCTTCAAAGACTAAATCTCCTCGTTGTGATTGCCACCAACCTTCCCCTTCTAAAAATCTGGTGGCATGGGACAGGGAGCTGAGTTCGGATTTCGCACCTGTCGGAAAGAAGATGGAGCAGGCTGGGTCTTTCTCAGGCCTCGCAGGGCAGAACTGGAGGCCCCAAGGGGTGGGAAATTGCAGAGAAACTGGATTTGCACCCGTATCGTAAGAACAATGACTGTAGGATAGTAGAGTGAATTGTTTTAAGACATGACAAAGGAAGGTTTCAATTTGCTGGAGACCCTTAAGCAGAGGATGGGTGAATGCCTCCATTAGCTAACTATTCTAGTTACAAAGATGGGAAAGTAACTTTTGGACGACAGCTGCCAGAACACCTTAGACCTAGCTAGTAAGGTGTGTTTTTTTGAGGGGGGGGGTCAGGACCTGAAGTCCAAAATAGTAATGTTAAAAAATTCCAAGTCATATGGATTTGTGTTTTGGGCTATAATGGTTCAAACTCTCTTTAATGCCGCTTTCTTTTTATACACTAATAAACTCTAATTTAATGCCTACAGAAAATGCTGATTCCTCCTTTTGCAGGGAGGTCAAAATAAATGGATTGTTAAATGCATCTAGCAGCTATGCTCGTTTTAAAAAAAATAATAATGGCAAGCGCAGGGGGTGGAGATGAGAAGGAATGAAGGAATTTTTGTGATCTGCAGTGCAAATAAAAATCACCTTCCAACTGTTAATGTTAATTCTCAGCTGATTGGTCCAGAGCATACAAAAGTGCCTTTTTGGACTACAAAACCCAGAATCCTCTAGCCCGCATGGCTATTACTTCTGACGCTGAAGGGTTCCCCCCCTCCTGCCGCTCCAGATTTCTAACCTGCTTGCTAGAGATGCATTTGGTGGGTCTTCCAGCCAAGCCCTAAGTTCAATGGGTCGGGAAAGTCTTCGGTACCTTTTGTCACGGAGGATAAATCCCAGGCTGGTCCTACCATTGGGGAAAGCGAGACTGTTGTCTCGCATGTCAGCGCCTGGCAGGCTCTGTCTTCTCGCTGGCGAGGAAATGCTGGGATATGTAGTTGAAAGAACTAACTTTTCCCAGCTTGGCTTCCTCCATCCCCTTCTTCCAGATCCCCTTTGGACAGATCTGAACAGCCGAATCAGGGGAACCCCTAAATCCACTCAAGTAAAACCCAAAGGGGAAAAAAAAACAAAACATGTTTTTTTAAAGACAAAAACCTTGTTTCACCTTAAAGACCTGCCTGTCTCCTGTAGGAATGCTTACAGCAGAACTGAACACCAAACATCGGCGGTTGCATTACTGCATGTGAGATGTAACCATCAGCCGATGGAGGTTTTGAATGTTTCACTTGTGGAATCTGTATGTTATTCCGTTATGCCAGAAGAAGTGGACTTGGTCCATGAAAGCTATCTGTATGCTATTCCGTATGCCAGAAGAAGTGGACTTGGTCCACGAAAGCTCACATTAGAATATAATAGCTAGTCTTTAAGATGCCATGAGGTTTTTGTCTTTTAAAGTTGTTAGTATAATTATTTTTCCTCCCCTCCCCTTTGGATTTTGCCTGATGACGCTTGCACAGACTAACACGGTGACCTCTTCTAAATCTACGCCTAAATCCTATTCCGTATGCCAGAAGAAGTGGACTTGGTCCACGAAAGCTCACATTAGAATATAATAGCTAGTCTTTAAGATGCCATGAGGTTTTTGTCTTTTAAAGTTGTTAGTATAATTATTTTTCCTCCCCTCCCCTTTGGATTTTGCCTGATGACGCTTGCACAGACTAACACGGTGACCTCTTCTAAATCTACGCCTAAATCCGTGGTTGCTGCTCCTTTCCCTTCTCACTGCCAGCCAGGAAAAAGTGGTTTGTCTACATGGCCTGCTGGCATCATCACCCTCGGTACCCCTCGGTCCATGGCTTGGCTGGGGGGGGGCTGCGGCGGGGGGGGGGAGACCCTCCCCTTCTGCGGCAGCTGAGATGCAGAAGCGGAAAGATGGGCTCCTGCTTCTTCTTCTTCTTCTTCCCTCCCTGTCTCTCTCCAGCAGGAGAGGCTGCTTCTTATTAGACCATGGCCGGCCCTGGTGGTGGTGGTGTGCGTGGCTCTCCCTCCCTCTTGGCCCTGCCAAGGGGAGTAGACCACCCCCTTTCAGCCCACGCAGGCGCCGCCTGATGCCAAGAGCTGCCAGATGCGACAGGAAACTTGGTGCAACGGGGAGCGGATGTTGCACCACCTCTTTGCTCCCTCCCTCCCTCCCGGCCCCATCCATTGGGATGATGCTCTGCAGTGGTTTCCGAGGAAGAGGCTTTCCCGGAGGGTGGGAGGGGATGGAGGGGAAGCATTGCCTGCTGATCTGGCAGTCCTGTGCAGGAGGGGGGAAAACTCAGCGGGATCAGCCCAGCCGAGCATCTGTAATCTGATGCCAGGGAGGGTCGGAGGGCGGTGGCATCGGGAAGATGAGCCACAGAAGGCAACCTGCCTTGCCTTCCTTCTAAATCCATCCGGTTTTGCTCAGGGAGCGCCTGTTCCCTTCGTGGTTCAGGGTGGAAGCAGCAGCAGCAGCTGAAGCATCATCTTCTTAACTTGGATCAACCCAGCCAGCTTGAAACCAAAGCTGGTAAAGGGACTACGATACCCAAAATCCCCTAGCTGGGGAGGGGAGCGAATGTTCCCCCTGCTCCGACAGACTGTGCTAAATAGGACACAGGCGGGCACTGAACACGTTCTGTTTTGCAAGAAGGCAAAGTGAGAAACTTCCATAGATCAAACAAAAAGGGTCCATCCGGCATCCAGTTTTTCCCAGGGTTCAACCAGATGATCCTGGTAAGAACTTGAAACGGGACATGAACACATCCATTCTCTATACAACAGTTCTCCCCCCCCACCCCAATCACTGATGCTCAGAGATATATTTCCACTGACCAAAAGTCTTTGCAAGATTTTCCCTTTCTTTCTTTCTTTCTTTCTTTCTCTTTCTTTCTTTCTTTCCTTTCTTTCTTTCCTTCCTTTCTTTCTGTCTGTCTGTCTGTCTGTCTTTAGCAAGATCATATTGTAACAGGTAAAAAGTATATATTGATAGAACAAGTTGCATGTGTCATGTCATTGCTGTGTCAAGGCAATCCAGATCAGGACCGACAATCTTAAGAAAGTATGCTTCTTTTGTGTAGTAAAGGAAAAACGTTGTAACTTGAAACCCAATTGCCTTCCCCTCTCCTCCTTTCACTAGTGATTGAGCAAAACCATGTCTTATAAACCCTCTTCAAATCATGGTTTACGGGGCAAACCTGCTTATATCCTTAGATACAGTTTCACACCCCAAAAACACACCTTCCTTTCTTTCTTTCTTTTCCCCCAGTGGGGGCGAGTATGAGGACTGTGGCCCCCAGTGGAAACCTCCAGACCACGACGTGATCATGAAACTAGTGGCTCAGATTGAGTATTACTTCTCGGATGAAAACCTTGAAAAGGACGCCTTTCTCCTCAAACATGTCCGGAGAAACAAGATGGGATACGTCAGTGTTAAGCTGCTGACCTCCTTCAAGAAGGTGAGCCGGAAAGTGTCCTTTGATAACAGCCGAGGGGGATAACCGTTTCGGATTGGGTGTCTTGCTTTTTCCTGCTGATTTTAGGATGATTTAGAAAACTCTGCATGGGGAATTCAAATCTGATGGGCTTGTCCAGAGTAAAAAGTCCACATTCTGTGTGTCTTGAAAAGTGAAATGTAACATTTGCTGTTTAAACTAAGTCAGTGGTCCTAGTATTAGCTAAACATTATTTGCGAGATGTCCGGGCCTCTTTGCAATTCAAGAGCTGGCTGGATCGCTCAGGGAGTTAGGGAGCCAGAGGTTTGGGAGTTCGATTCCCCCACTGTGTGCCTTCTGGGAGTAAAGCCAGCCTGGGTAGCTTTGGGCCAGCTGCACCGTCCCAGGGCTCCCCCTCGAAGAAAGGAATGGGCAACCACATTTGAGTACTCCCTATCTAGAAAACCCTGATCTGACTTGATGGCATCTGATGATTATTATTTCAATTTAAAGCCAAACCGGATGGCATCCTTCCAATCCTGGAGCCAGCTTTTTCTCCTCTTATCATCTACCCCTGTCCTTCTGCAATCCTCTACAGACCCTCATTTTTCCCCCCTCCAGAGGGCTAAGAAACTGATGCAGGCTTTCACTGCTACGGAGGGCTGAGAATAAAGAGAGTAAAGAGAGTTCAGATTGAATATGGAAGTCTTCAAGATCCCTTAAACTTGGGTTCTGCCCGCTGAGGCTTGAAACAGAAACAGAGGCGGGCACCTTTGGGTGCACGGATCCAGATAGAACACATTGGAATGCCAACATTCTGATTAGAAACACAAGCACAGTAAAAAGAAGAAGAAGAAGAAGAAGAAGAAGAGGAAGAAGAGGAAGAAGAGGATGCAGAAATAAAATATTGCAAGGACTACCTGGGGGAATAAAATCCTGGGCAAAGAATGAGTAAGCCAGGGCCGGACTCTGATGGTCCATAGAATCCCTTAAGAGCTCTGCAGTTCTAAGATGATGATGATGATGATCAAGTAACCATTTAGCAGCCTGTGCCTCTTAAGGGGAACAGGAAGGTCTCCTCCCTTCATCCCTTTCACTCAGAAATGGAAAGGCTCTGATAAAGCCAAAAAAAACAATGCAAAGCAAAGTGTGGGGGGTGGTATAGAACCACTCTTTAGGTCGATTGCAGCTTGATTATGCAGGCGACACATTGCGGCCACCACTCTTCCCAGCGAGCTGGGGGACACATTTTACCAACCTCAGCAGGACAGAAAGTGGAGTCAACCTCAAACCAGCTACGTACCTGAATCCTTCAGGATACAAACTCTGGTTGTGTGCAGAGGCTTGACTGCAGTACTGCAGTTTTAACCCCTGTGCCATGAGGCTCCTTGTACGATAATATCATAAGCTCGAGAAAACGACTATTTTTTTCCCCCATTGGATTAACCATGCAGACAAGATTAGCATTGCAGGAACAATCCTGGTCCAATCTGTCTCTCCCTTTCAGTCTCTGAAGAGGTTGATTTTGTAGGTGCCGTTGGTTTGCATGACTCTTAGCTTGCTAGGGCACTTACGGCAGATCTCACGAGTGTGTGAGTGTGTTGCAGTGTACACCCCACTGTGAATAGGCTCCTGCCATCTTCCTACTACAGTATTCTGGATTTTTTCTAAATATCCTGCCTTTTATTACAGGTGAAGCATTTGATGAATAGGCTCCTGCCATCTTCCCACTATTCTGGATTTTTCTAAATTTCCTGCCTTTTATTACAGGTGAAGCATTTGACCCGTGATTGGAGAACCACCGCTTATGCCCTGAAATATTCCGATGTTCTAGAGCTGAACGAAGACCACAGAAAGGTTCGGCGCAACACACCCGTTCCCGTATTCCCTAGCGAAAATCTCCCCAGTAAGATGTTGCTGGTTTACGACATCTGCCTAATGTCTGACCTCCATCCTCCGGACGAAGGGCAAGAGAACGGCTGCGTTCAAGAGAAGGTGATGGAGCATCTTCTTAAAGCTTTCGTCCGGTTTGGCGCCATTTCCTCAGTCCGTGTCCTCAAGCCGGGCCGGGACCTTCCGCCAGATATCAAGAGGTTCAGTAGCCGGTACGCCCAAGTGGGCACCAAAGAATGCGTGATCGTAGAGTTTGAAGAGGTGGACGCAGCTATAAGAGCTCACGAGTCCATGTGCATGGCGGACCACGAACATGCCATGAAAGTGGTCCTCATGGGGATGAAGCCGCCGAAGAAGAAAGTTCTGAAAGACAAGAACCGAGATGAAGATCCCAGCAAGGGTCTCGGCAAGACACGGTCTATGAACAAAAGAGTGGAAGAACTCCAGTATGTTGGCGATGAATCTTCCGCCAACAGCTCCTCCGAGCCAGAGAGCAGCCCGGAGTCCCCCATGTCGGGGCGCAGGAGCGGCGCTTCCAACAAGCTGAGTCCCCCCACCTACCCAAGCCATCATCTCAGCCCCAACATGTCTCCGAGGTCAAGCCCTTGGAGCAGCCCTTCCTCCTTACGGAAAGTCTCCAGGATGTCCCCACTGGCTGAAGACGGCAGGTTGAACCTGAGCACCAGCCCCGAAATGTCCAGGAGATGTGCGGATTATTCGTCGGACAGTAGCATCACCCCTTCTAGTAGCCCCTGGGTTCAGAGACGCCGGCAGGCTCAAATACAAGAGAAGAGTCCAGTGGGCAGCCCCATACAGAGCCCCAAAATGCAGGGTGCCGTTGGACTGCCCGTTGGGGTGCTGCGTTTGCCCAGAGGGCCAGACGGCACCAAAGGCTTCCATAATAATCGTGAAAGGAATAAAGCTCTCCAAGAATGAACAGCTGTGGGTTTTGCTCCTTCCATGCATTATTCCAGCATACAATACCTTCAAGGACTTGAGATCAAAACAGTATTCTCTCTCTTTTTTTAAAAGCATTTGTATCCATGTGGCTTTGCATGTTTGTATCCCTCCCTTCTTTCTATATTTTCATTGTTTTTCAAAGCTCCTTCCTCAACGTGGGTGCGTTTTGCTTAACTTTTTTTTTAAAAAAGCCAGGTATAACCAAACATTCCGTGGGGGAAAACAAAACCTGATTTTATTCTGCAACGCTTCATGTGCTTCATCAAGACAATCGTAGCAGTTGTATCATCTGGCTGAGTGGCCCGAATCCCTTCCCTTTTGTAATGTTTTGTAAGGGACGCGTGAGCACCCAATATTTTTGCTAGCTAGATTTCGTGATATCAGAAAGACATTTCCTAGTCTACCATATGACCTAAATATGTCTTTTGGGTAGTATGAATAAATAACACCGATGTTTAAAAATGATCTCCTGGGTTTGTTGGACTAAAAATTGGGCCAGTTAAAAATTCAAGATTGTAGACTAGATTATTATCAAACCTGGGTTTGTCTGCTGAACCTCAGACAATTTCTCAACCGAGTAGAGCACAGCTTTGGATCCTTGAGATGCTAAGGAACTACAGCGCCCATGATCCTTTGATCATTGGCCATGTTGTCTGGGAATGGACACCCCAAAACATCCGGAGGGCCACCGGTTTCCTACCTCTGGTCCGTAGGAGGGGTAAATATCTCCTGAAGTGAAATTTAAGACATGTTCAGTGGGTTCTACCCTATTAGCAAGAACTTTGCAGGAAACTGTGCACACGGGAATAAGAATTAGTAAGTAAGGATTGTGAAAACTAGAGTTTAGTTTGTGTGCTGTTAGATTTGAGGTGGGACGGTCTACCTTCTGGATAACTTGATGTCACCACCGGGCATACCTAAAGCAGGGTGTATATCCTCACACCTGTGTCGCTGTACCACATGGGGAAAAGCAGGAATGGTGATGGGGGCCCATCAACAAAGTTGCTCAAGAACCCTTGATAAGCTTCTAAAGAATCCAAGGAATGATTTGCAAAGATACAGCTGGGGGAAGCCTTGACATCAGTTACAGTGAGATGCATACGGAGGGGGAAACACTGCCATCCATTCCACAATTTGGGGGGGGGGGAACGACAGCACAGTAAAGATAAGAGACACCTCCTACAGTCTGCTGGCATCTTTTAAAAGTTCTGAGACAAGCACAGACTTTTGAACATGAGGAGCTCTGGAGGGGTCGTTTGGATGTTTTTAATCAGTCTGGCAGGCCTTCCATGTCTCCAGGGTGTGTTCGTAAACCTTTCACAGCCAGTCTTTTGCCTTTGTTAGGCTAATGGATGGTCCTTGGAGAGGAAAAAAGCATTTGTGTCATTCTGTTGGGTCCAGGAATACTATTGGATTCTTCCTCCCTTTATGTGTCATGTCATTGCTGTGTCAAGGCAATCCAGATCAATGAGAACCAGGAACTTACTGAGTATTCTCAAGTTCTCAGCCATGCTCATGACTGGCTCTCCTATTGTGTCAGCAGAGGGTGAAACTGTACATTGCCGTTGACCCATCACTGGAGCTAAAATCAGTAGGGAAGCTTGTGTTGAGCCAATCATAAAACAAAGCAAGCTGATTTGCAAACTACAGGGGGTGAGAAAAGCTCTGGCTGTGATAAGCAGACCCTTCAGAAGTGTAGCTGTTTTCCCAATCTTTGTAACTTACAAATTGACCCCGATTTATATCATTTCTTTTTAAAAAAATTGTGGGTTTTTGGTTTTTTTTTGGCAATGCCGATGGCTGCTTGGGTTCACCCCATTATAGCTTGCAAGTCTGGGCATCACAGGGCACCAGTTTGTGATTGGCACAAGGAGTTGGCCAATCAACTTCAAGCAGAAGCCATTGTGAGATCACCGAAAACATCTATGAAGCTAAAGGTCCCCCAGACACAAACACACACTCAAAAGAAACCCAACCCCAACTCACATCCGGGGCCAGCTGGGAGGCTGAAGCTACTACAACATGGCTTTCCCCTACAGGTAAGCATTTCAGCTCTGGCTTCTGGATCGGTCCCAGGCTAGCATGGCCAAGGGACTGCGATGATGGGTGTTGTAGTCCAGCAATATCTGGAGAGCCACAGGTCTTCCAATAGGGTTCATTGGGCAATAGGTTTAAATAGACCTAATACAAGCCACCAAAACACAGTCGGGGGGGGGGGGGGAACCCTTTTCACCCTGT